TTGGCTTTTCCCTGTACGCTAAATGACTTCTATTGCATCGATGCGATGTGCTTTTCTTCACTTGAAGCTGGTTATTGGAGGGTGCCACTTGGAGGTTCTTTATCTTTTTTCATCCTCTATTGTTTCCACCAGTCTTTATTGCTCTTCCTGTGCACTAAATGACAGTTATTGAGCCAACGTTGTAAAGTATAATGTTGTATTAGTTGTATTTATGGCATAGAGCATTCTGTAGAGTGTGGATTTGCTCTCTATAACAGTAATTATTATTTTATTATTGACATTATTGTCATTATGATTATTATAATGTGCTCATCTTTACTCATACTTGTCTCTCATGTAAGAATTGTTTGTATTTTGTTCCAGCAACATGGAAGTGTCTATTGGGGACAGAATGCCAGAGAGGTTCTGAAGAGTCTCTCGCCAGAAAAACCTCTGGCAGATCAACTGAAGGTAAGTGGGCTCATTCCCAGTGCTTTACTTTACCTGACCTTTTTCTAGCCTCTGTTGCCTTTCGATGTTGAGAGGAGAAGCAAACTCTTGTTTGTTTTATCGTACTGCCTGTTGCATTGTTATGTTGTTTTTGACTAATGTTTCTCTGACTTCCTCTTTCCATTTTTTTCGTGGGCCTGCCTCTTCCTCTGTATCCATCTGATCTCTGGTTGGATGTTCTTGCTGCTCTACTGTCTGGTGGTAGTCTTGAGAGATATCCAAACCATTTCATTCGTTGTTTATCTGTTTACGCCAAGCAGGGAGTCGAGCAAGCTTGTTTTCTGACAATCTTGTTTCTCACCCTGTCTCTTCTTGTGATGTTCAAAATTTTGCTCATATGACCGTACGCAGTTGCGAGCGCTTTAAAGCCTCTACTAAAACAAACAAAAGTTTTGCTTAGGCATCTCATTTCACAGGAGTTTATTTCACTTTTGTGACTCTTGTTTATTGTCCATGTTTGGGCTTGGTAGCACAGTGTTGGTATGAAGATACTGATAATGAGTTGGTTCTTTGTTTCCTCCATACCCGATGCACACTGCACAAAGTTATGACAAATAAATAAAATTTGAGTTGCATCAAATAAAGTACATTTAATTTGCTGTATGTAAACTTGACAAATATGCACATTTGAGTTGTGTCAAATAAAAGTACATTTTGGTCGCTTCAAATAAACACACTTTTGGGTTGCTTCAAATAAACGCATATTTGAGTAGTGTCAAATGAACGTACATTTGAGTTGCCTTTTGTAAACTTATCTAATAAACTCACATATGAGTTGCTTCAAATAAACATACATTTCATTTACCATTCACCTCTTTCACCTTGGTATTGGTAATTAGGATCTCCACCTGTCTCTGTTCTGGGCTGTCCTCTCCACCTCTAGCCAGCTGTGTCCCGTATTCCTGAGACCTGCCTCTGGATCTCGCTCCCAAGTGGATCTCAGCCTTCCTCTCCTCCTCCTCCAGTGGGGGTTCCATTTTAGGCTTAAATGTACATTTGAGCTACATCAAATAGAGTTACATAGTTGCAATCAAATAAACTTTCTTTTGAGTTGCGTCAAATAAACGAATAATTTAGTTTTGTCATTGTCACATAACCTTACAGTTGAGTTGCTTTGCATAAATATGCAGTTGAGCTGTGTCAAATAGATGTACATTAGAGTTATTCTTGGGGGCTCTCGTGGCCTAGAGGTTAAGGTGTTGGCCTCTCATTCAAAGGTCCCGGGTTCGAATCCGGGTAGCGACCTAAACATTTTCTTCTCTAAAATTGTCTCCTTTCACCTCCTTTTCTGCTCTCTAGCAATGTTCTGTTGTCTGCTTTCGTTTCCACTTTCTGCCCCCACCCCCTCACCTCCTTTGCCCCCTCCTCTGGGCTCCTGACTCTTTCTGCAGCCTTTCTACTGCTGCTCCTTGGCTCCTCCTAACTGCTGTCTTTCTTCCACACCCCTGATCTTCTGGTAGGAAAGATCTACACCTAGCCTTCTCGGACTAGGGCGAAAAATCTCGGAGGGCCTGTGTGCAAGTTGCGCACGTTAAAGATCCCTTGGTGGTCTAAAATCGATAAGAGTAGGCTTCGGCCGCCACCCGGGCAAAATTCAAAATTTTCTACCAACTGAAAATATTACGTGTGTCACATGCGCTCATATGACCTTTTGCAGTTGCGAGCGCCGTAAAAACACTTACTAAAACAAAAAACAAACAAGAGAGAGTTATTCTTTGCAGCACTTACACAACCTAATTGTGTTACAAGTGCTGTAAATCTCTTACTGAAATTAAACTTAAACTCTTGTTATCTCCCTTTTCAGAACTGTTTCAGCATCGATGCCTCTCCGGTGTGGATGGATGCAAGCACCTCATCGCAGTGCAGACAGCTGGAGCAGAGCGTTGGAGGGCCTCAGGTTCGATTCCCATCCATTTTGGTCCAAGTGAATAAACTATTGAAAGTGCAAGAGGCTGGATCACTTGAGACGAAGAAGATTCAATGTGCCTGTGTTTTTACACCCACATCGGCACAATTTAGATCATTTAGGAGGCAGGTTTATGACCCTGCCTGTCAGGGCCAGTCCTGGCTGAGAGGAATACAACACACCAGCAGAAAGACTGAGGTACTTGATTAAAGTTCTTCCCATCCGGGAACTGAACTTGGGTCTCCTGCATGTGACAGCGAAACATCTAGTCGCCACACCAGAGGTTCCAGTTCATTTGAGAAAATGGCTAAAACATAGTGGAAAGAAGTAAAGTATAGTGTCGGGTTAGTGAGATTATGTTGGTGTGATATTGGGTATTATGTGATGTGATGAATTATACGTAAAATCCACACAGAACTATGTTATTAAATGGACATTAAGTCCACAGACACTTAAATATACCTGGTAATGACAGAGCAGACTCTTTTGCCTAAAGGGAACCTATGCAGGAACAACCTAACATTCCAACTTCATACAACACTTCAAAACAAATCATTAAAAGCAACAACAAACAAGATTGAGATTGGATGAATAGATAGGCCTTGGAAAAGACAGGCGGAGCAGTTTTCAAATATATGACCACAAAAAAACAGAAATGACAATATCAACCACCTACAGAGAAAGAAACAGACCACGATCCTCCGCCTATGAACAGAACAAATAGGCCTAGAGCTCAACTTCTACTTGAACAGAATAAAACCAGAACTTCCCCCAATGTGTCCTTTGTGTGACTGTGTATATATGAGACTGGATCATCACCTATTCCCCTGCACAGCCCTAAATGACATCAGAGCTACACTTCTCCCTCTGAGACCTAACATTGACTACACACTCTATGGAACAGTACAACAACTACAGCAAACCTGCACTTATCACTACGTGGCTATGAACGGAAGGGTGAGAGCCCAGTTGTTGCTGGATCAATAACAACAACAACAACGAATGGACATTAAAAAACATTTTAAATTACCAAATCGGTGGAAAAATGTCTGTTTCTTCAATTTCATTATTTGAAAAGAGCCTGCCGCAACACATATTCTGTATCTTATTTTGTTTTATTTCTCTTATTTTATCTATGACATAATCTCGATTCCTGTTCACAGGACTACTTTGTCTTTCCTTTCAGAAACTGTCTGCCATCACCGGGTCTAGAGCGTTTGAGAGGTTCACAGGGAATCAGATCATGAAAGTTTTCCAAACAAACAGAGAAGCCTACGACAACACAAAGGTACGATAGCTGGGAGGGACCCAATATAAAAAAAAAAGTCTGCTCAATAGAACTAATTTCTAATATAAAAATAAAAAGTAAATGTAAATGTTTTTAATACCCCCATTGACACAATCTAAATCATTTAGGAGGCGGGCTTCCGATCCTGCCTCTCAGGGCCAAGCCAGGCTTAGAGGGATACAACATCCCAGCCGACAGACTGACGTACTTTTACGAAAATTTCTCCCCGTTCGGAAATTGAACTGGGGTCTCCTGCTTTGATGGCGAAGTGCCTAACCACTAGACCACAGTTGTTGGTTGGGGGCTCTTGTGGCCTAGAGGTTAAGGTGTTGGCCTCTCATTCAAAGGTCAAAATGTTCTTGTCCTTTCACCTCCTTTCCTGCTCTCTAGCAATGTTCCGTCGTCTGCTTTCGTCTCCTCTTTCTGCCCCAACCCCTTCAATCCTTTGCTCCCTTCTCTGGGCTCCTGACTCTTTTTGCAGCCTTTCTACTGCTACTCCTTGGCTCCTTCTTACTGCTGTCTTTCTGCCACACCCCTGATCTTCTAGTAGGAAATATCTACGTCTAGCCTTCTCAGACAAGGGCGAAGAATCTCGGACACGGCGTCAGTTTTCGCCCAATTCTGTTACCTTTAGTTAGCGTGACTCAGCAGCCCGCCGGAGGTCCCCGACTCGGGGTCACGGGGTTAATGAGCCCTAAGCGACTTTGCTGGTGTCGGTTTGGAAGTTTGCATTTTTGACTATGTTTAAAATGATGTAACTTCTTCCCCATTCCACATGGCAAACCATTACGCTGATGTACTAAAAGCTCAATGTCTTGAGATTTATTCTGCGTTAGAATGGTAAATGTCTGTGCCTTAGTTTTTGTTCTAGACAAGTATTTGTAGAGTACCCAATTTGTCCTATTTTAGTTACAAACTTATGAATAAATGATTGTTAATTTTAAAAAGGCAGGACAGATCTCTCCAAAATCTGTGTTAAACTGATTACGAATATCATGCCTTTTACCATGAGAAATCTTAAATCTGCGCGAGTTGTAATAGTCAAGTTATAAGAGAAGAAAGATGCATATCTGCATTTTTTAACTATAGACGATCAGCGTTAGCTCTTTGTAATGAGATGATAAGTCCTATCTAATCCTAGATTCTACTCGTTAGTCTATCTACGTTGGGTTCAGTACTCACTATTTCAAGCGGGGAACGATGAGTGTGGGTCGTACAGGTCCGGAGCTCCATCCACTGTGTTGACCCACCAGTAGCGTCGATCCCTGCTCAGTCAAGGTTTAAGTCGTGGCTCGGAAGGCCGGTTCAACCTTCGCGTCTGTTTATGTACCCCCCGTGCTCCCTTGTTCTCCTACACTCACTAGGCTACACTGAGTTTGTTCACTTATTTCACGTGATTCTGGCTTGTCTGGTGATCACAGCGAATTATAGACCACACTCTTATTTTACGATTAAACAAGAGAAAGTTACTCTGCGTTTGTTCATGAATCATGCTGTGTCTGTGGCAGCCTGCATACAACTAAAAAGATATAATATAAGCGATTAAAAACCCCCACAAAACCGTGTAAATTCATAGGTAGAGATAAACTTCTTGTATGGAATAAAAATAATGACAGCTAACACATTCATTCTTAGTTTTTGTGTCGGAAATATGCGCGGACACAATTATGAATGTAAAGAAATAAGTCTCTTTGTTTGTTGTCGCAAATGGTTATAGAAACGAAAAATAAAGCTGGAAAAGTCTGGTGCTGATTCAGTGTCCCTGTAAAGCGTAAAGCTAGAAATTATTCTTGTAACCCAATTACGAATTATTATTCAGTCAACTTACAAAACCTAGACTTATCGTTTTAAGAAAAGTAAGGAATTTCTGGAGTGTAACAGATACTGTTCATGTATTACATTGAAGATGTATTCTGGCACTAAAATCGATTTGTATTTTTCATAGAGTAACTTCATGGTAACTTTTATAAATTTTCGAGAAAATATGCGAATATTCACGTTATTTTAGACACATAAAGTTGTATTTGGAGTAATTAGTTCATTGTGAATTATGTGATAAAGTTGCAAAATTACAGCTTTCTATTATATGCACAGATACCATCTTTTCTGAGTATCTGCACCAATGCTATGTCGTTTATGTTCCAAAAGTTCGACAGATTTTGTCAAGGCCTTTTTTAAAAATTGATTTTTTTCGTTCACGCAAGTAAAAAAAAATTACAATTTAGCATTGCCGACTCCAGCGCGTCTAACGAAACAACCAGACAAATTACAACGTCCGTTCTTTTTTGAGTCTCAAGAGCAGAAATACATGCTTTGTGTGCACTAAATGAGAATTACTTTAAATACAAGGATACACCTAAAATTGTACGTTGAAAAGTACCAAAAATTAAATCAGCCCAGACAGAGCGGCGACAGGAAGCTGACCCCCGTGTCCCCGACGTGATAAGGCGCCCGGCGGGAACCCCCTGTGGCAACTAAAATTCCACTGCCGGTGCGCCGTGCGGAGGGCCCTGTGCAAGTTGCGCACGTTAAAGATTCCTTGGTGGTCTAAATTCGATAAGAGTGGGCTTCGGCCGCCACCCGGGCAAAATTAAAAATTTCCTTGCAACTGAAAATATTAGGTGTGTCTCGCGCGCTTATATGACCTTATGCAGTTGCGAGCGCAGTAAAACACTTACTAAAAAAGAAAAAAAAAAAGTTGTAGAAAAAAAAAAAAGTTGTTGGTTCAAGTAGTTGGGACACTTTGACTTGCAGATTGTGTCAAGCAGTGAGGGTGATGATTCAGCTTTCAGATGGCCTGTCGGGAGAGTGAGGTTACTACTGTAAATCATTTATTGTTGTGGTCAGGTGTCCACACCTAAAGGGCAGTGTTTAACATAGCCCAAAGAAAGAAACTTTTGTATTACTAGATCAAGAATTGTTACAAAAATATTTTTATTTAGTCTCTGGCCTACAGGAATGCCTAGAAAAGTTCTACATCCTGTTCACATGGGAAAATTAATAAATGACCCAGAATTTTATCTAAGGTGGACAGACCAAAGTGAACAAGCTATAACTGCTGTCCCTTGTCTGTTGCACAGAGAATATCGCTGGTGAGCAGTTTCGCAGCCAGCCTATTTTTGGGTGACTACGCCCCCATTGACCACAGCGACGGGACAGGCATGAATCTGCTGGACATCTGGTCCAGGGATTGGTCACCTGACTGCCTACAGGTCTGTACAGTGAAAGTGAAATTTGTTATTGTGTTGGATTAAATCCCCCTGTAATACTGTAAAGTTATTTAATGGCAGGACCTCAGAATTTAACGTCCTTCTCCAAAAGGACCAAGCCAAAATGGAAAATTCTTGTAAAGTGCCTTTCACAAGGATACAACATTAGACCGAACTGAGTCTCGAACCCCCGAACAGGCAATCTGAGTCTGGTAGCGTAACCCCTAGGCTACCGAAGCTGCCTACTCTGCCGTCTTAGGAAAACAGGACGAATATCGGAAATTGGCTCAAATAGAGATATTGATACCATGTGAAAGAGCATGAAAAGCTGCATCTTTTGAACCAGTGGCCATCACATTTAGAGATGTTCGAATACTTTATTTTGGTATTGGAAGTATCGTCATAATTTTTAATTTTTAATTTATTTTATATTTTATGAAAGAAAGACGAATCTCTGGTCCTATTGTTAAAAAAGAACGAATACCAAGAGGTTCGTCCTCAGCTCTGTATTAGCAAATGAAAACTTGTTTCCGAGAGAGTTAATGTGTGAGAGTATGTCCCCTCAAAAGCTTGTACAGAGAGAGTTAATGTGTGAGATTATGTCCCGTCAAAAACTAGTACCGAGAGAGTTAATGTGTGAGAGTATGTCCCGTCAAAAACTAGCACAGAGAGAGTTAATTTGTGAGAGTATGTCCCGTCAAAAACTTGTTACAGAGAGAGTTAATGTGTGAGAGTATGTCCCGTCAAAAACTAGTACAGAGAGAGTTAATGTGTGAAAGCACTTGCCCTCAAAAGCTTGTACCGAGAGTGATTATTTACTTTGTTTATCCCGTCACTCTAGGCTTGTGGCCTTGACCTTGGTGCAAAGTTGGGGCCGGTCGTTCATTCAACACAGAACATTGTGAGTATTTAGTTTGGTTAGAGTTTTACGGCTCTTGCAACTCAAATATGTCATATAAGTGCTGGAGCTTCATTGGGATTTTTATATTGTGTTGTTTGTTGGGCACTTTGATTTTTTGTCTTTGAATACTTGTGAGGATCTCTGTTTGTGGTGTGTGTATGTGTCTGTTAGAATGTACTTTTATTAATACACGTTTATAGTTTTAAATGTATACTTTTTACTGTTTCAACATTCGTTTATAATGTTTGAAAGCACCTTTGCTGTCTAAACACTCATCAGTGTTGTTGTTGTTGTTGTTAGCGATCCAGTAGCATCTGAGCGTTAACTCTTCTGCATGATGCCATTCAGTAATAGTTGCATGTTTGTTCTAATTGTTGTCTTGAGGAGTAGAGGCAATTAGATGTGTGGGGGTAGCTTGGGAAGAAAACATCCCCTTAAATCAGTTAGTTTTCTACAGAAGAACAGATGATGTTCCACTGTCTCTGAGGGGTAGTCACATAGTGGACAGGCAGCAGACTGCTTTACTCCAATTCGGTTGAGATGTTGGTTGAGGGGTACATGTTGTGTTCTAAGTTGGAAGATTATGGATTGATCTCCCCTCCTCAACTCATTGATTGGATCTTTGACCAGTGGTTTATTCATTTTGCCATACATTGATGTAACTGCCCATTTTTAAGATATATTCATGCAAATTTATTGATGTTTTGACACATATTAAATAAATGTTTCTATTCACATCTGTCAATGTGTTTAGATACACATTTATTGATGCTTAAACTCACATTTATTTATGTCTAAATGCACATTTGTTACAGTTTTATCTCACTGTTAACATTTTAATTCACCTTTGTTAATGTTTACATGCACATTTATTTACATTTTAATTCACATAAATTAATAAATGTTTTAACTCACAAAAGATTTATTCACGTTTTAACTGACAGCTCAAACTAAATGTTGTTACGCTGTGGTGTTGTGTTGTCTCTCCCTCAGGGCACTGTTTCCCAATACATGGTGTCTAGATACGGCTTTCTTCCCAACTGTGTCGTTGCTGCATTTGTTGGAGACAACCCAGGTGAGAAAAAAATTGTTTTTGTTTTTGTTTTAATCATTTTTTCAAAGAATATTTTCACACCCCATAAACACTACTTAGATAATTTAGGAGGCGGGCCAACACTGCCTGTCAGGGCCAACCCAGGCGGAGAGGGATACAACATCCCAGCAGAAACACCGATATATTCCATAAAAATTTCTCCTTCTCAGCCCGGGATGCTCCTTCTCTTAAAACTAATAACATACGGGTGGTTGGAGGGTGCCACTTTTGTAGGTCTCAGTTCTTTTTTGTCCCCATTGCTGTTGTTTTTCCCAGCGATAAATTCTTTCTGTTGTGCCACTTGACTTTTTTTTCCTGAAACTTTCAGAGTATTTTCTTATGATGTAAAAAGAATGTGTTTGTCTTAGTAGTACTGTATTTTTTTCCCCGCTACTTTCAACCGGTGGTTGGAAGGTGTCACTGATAGATCCTATTTCTTTTCCCGTCCTCTGTTGCTTTTGTCTCTGTTGGTGGTTGGAGGGTGCCACTGGTAGGTCAGACACACACACATGCACACACAAACGCACACACACACACACACATACACCCACACACGCACACGCACACTCTCTCTCTCTATCTCTCTCTCTCTCTCTCTCTCTCTCTCTCTCTCTCTCTCTCTCTCTCTCGTACACACACACACACACACACACACACACACACACACACACGCACTCCTTTGCAAATAACCAACAAATCTCGAGAATGTAAACCGCTCGGAGAAATAGTGTTCAAGTTTATTTTCCCGAGCGTTCGGAGAAATAGAGCCGGCCTTATTGTTATTTTGTTGATACGCTGCTCTTTACGCAAGCACACGAACAAACAAAACAATATTTAGAAAAAACAACAACAATTAAGGCCACTCTCGGGTTTTTGGGGTTCAGTTTGGGGCCAGACAATGTTTTTTTGGTTTTAAGAAACTTCCCGTGAAAATTATGAGCTAAATTACTAAATCGAATGGATGTATTACTATTAACTAAAGTCCTATTTCAAAGTGATAGCTCCATAAAGTTTGTAACATTGTGAGCCAATACAACACAATGCTTTAAAGCTATTTTTAGATGTTTTTACTCCTTTCCTCAAAATGTTCTTTTCTTGGTTTTAAAACCAAAAAACTTAAAAACCATTCAAGATAAAGACATGAAATTTCAAGGGTAAGTAGGCCTACACTATGCAATTCCAAATAAAATGACGCTAGTCTTCTTCAATTTTTGATGATTTTTTTTACTTTGCTATTTTGACTGGTTTTGTCATTCAAGTCTTCATATTTTTAATGAATTTTGTAATTTGCTATTTTGACTATTTTGTTATTCAAGTCTTCATATGCTAGCCCTCTAAATGTGATAAAATTATTAGTGTTTACAATTTCAAGAAAAGCTAGCATCATTCTCTTACGATTTGTGTGCAGATTACAAATATTTAATTAGTTCATAGATAGCATTGATGGTTTTTGAGTTTTAAGCTTTTGAAAATGGTCCTACAGATAGCTTGGTTTCACTCTAATACGCCATTTCTATGATTATGTAACTGGTAATGATTCCCAAAACTGATTATTTTTAATCCTTGAATGGAATACTTTGAGACAAGGAGAAAAAACAATTAAAAATCACTAAATTGTAGATTTTGGTTGTAAGAAGTAGAGTACAGTGTGGCCTCAAACGAACAAACGAAAAAGAAAGCAATTAAACAAACAAACAAAACTGCAATTAAATAAACAAGTAAGTAAGCAAAACAACAAATAAACAAAAAAAACCAAACAATCAAATTAACCAACAAACATGTATATATCTGTGTGGGTTTTTTCCATTCCCTTCAGCATCGTTGGCTGGTCTCGCCCCAGAACCCGGTGATGTCATCGTGAGTATCTTATCTGATCAGATTGAACTCTTAAGTCAATGGCCGGTCATTTCTGTTGGTGCCCGGTATTGCTCTGTTATTTAAAGTCATAACAAAAATCTTTGAAACTCCAGCAAATCCTTACTTGGATTTACTTGGATCCAGAGCTAGAATCATAGCAGGCGGCACATGTCCATAGCTGCTCATCTCTCCTTTCCAGCGTCCACCTCAGGGTCTTCCTGCTAATTGTCTCCATGAGGAGCTGGTTTGAGACAAATCCTTCTTATGAATAATAAAACAAAGAGTGTTTATTGCAGTCATTTAATCATATTTAATCAGTTTGGTGTATATTTTATGCAAAAAGGTTAACAGGAGCGGAGTTATAACTTATAGAGAAGTATGAAGTGCTGAAAAATTGTCTTGACAAAGCTGGCTAAGGTAGCCTACAAAGTATGCAAAGGTGGAATAACCTTCCGTATACCTAAGAGTTAATAATACTGATCATAATAATAAAAATGAAATTAATAACGCAGTAGTCTCCGCCTAAGATCCCACTGTGCCCCGCACGCACTTTTCTTTTATTGTGCTGAGTGTGTGGGAGTCTGTCTCCTCTTGGTTGTGAAGGCTCTCCTTGCATCTGGCGATCACCATTGGTGGGCCGAGCATGATTCGGCCATTGGGTGCTGCTTTGCCAGCAAGTTCATCAGCACGCTCATTTCCGTGCACCCCGGCGTGACCAGGGCAGAACACCTATTTGCAATGGAAGCTGTCCAGTGACTGTTGAGACACCCACTTCTGATTTTTTCTAGGGTGCTCATCGAATCTGTGACAAACAGGGCATGTTTATACGCTTCCATACTGATCCATTCCAGCGCCTCTGTTATTGCCTTGACCTCCATTACCATGCTCGATGTAGTGCACTCGTAGGCTCCAGACTGTTCTTTAATTATCTTCCCGTCAACTCGAGCACTGAACGCCCACCCAGATTTCTGGCCACGCCTCACTGATCCGTCGGTGAAGACGACAACATCACCTCACTGAATTTTCCTCAAGGATGGCCACAATTTCCGCATTAGTTGCATTTGCTGGCCACTCGCGACACTCTCGACCTAGCATAGCTATCACCTTCATGAAGTTGCTCATGTCTTTCTCCGGCCTCATCCAGTCACATCCTCTTCTTATGTCCTTGATTTCACAGCACATATAGAGAGTTCGCTCCTCTTGCACCATCCATGAAGGTCCTCTTTTCAATCTTTGGCGTACTTGGTGCCTTATTTTCGGATGTAGAGGGTGACGTTCGTCTGCTGTTACTCGAAGGTAGGCCTTGACTTGTGCTAGCTTGTGTCGGTGGGTTAACGTTGGCAGGTCCAGCAGATATCTCATCGCTGATGCTGCTGTGTCACGGGTGCATCCCAGAACAGTTCTCATTCCTTCATTTTGAACGACTTCGAGGCAATGTAGCTGGGTTTTGAATAGGGTGAGCATACCAAGGCCATAGTCCACTACAGACAGTACAACCGCTTGAAGCATGATCATAAGCGCGAGTTGGGGCATAGATGCAGCCATCACTCTCAGTGCAACAAGTCCTTTCCTTTCTCTGGTGATAATGTTCGTCACATGGTCTTTTGCCGAGAGAGTGCGGTCAAAGGTACTTCAATTTCTCTTGCCTTTCCAACTGCGTACTTTGTATTTTGACAGTAGGCATGATAGCCTTGACTGCCCTGTTGTTGAGACTGGTCTGATTCATCCTCAAGATCTACATACGGCTAAGATCCCGCAATTCAGATCATATTTTATGGAACAAAAAACACGGGCGGGCACAGTCGATCAACCAAAGGTGAAAAGTTGAGGTCATTGAACTGACCATCGGGTCACAGATCAGCCATACTAGTGAGTGTGATCTGATAAGCATTGTAAAACTGGATGGAACAGTTCTATATTTGCTCCAATCGGGATCACTCCGAGGTGTGATAAAAACACTGAGGTGTGAACTGATCGACGCGTTTGTTTTCACCAAACGTTGCTCTCGCATCTGAGCTCTCCACCTAAACTTACATCACTTGCTGGATGGGTAGTGGGTAGGGCCTACAAGTTTGCTCCAAGCGCAATCACATTGGACTGTGAACTCTTCCCTGACCATTGCAACAGTTGCCTCTACTCATGAATTTGCGAGACAGCCTAAATTTTAATTGGTGAGGTCACAACGTAATGGTGCATAATGACAAAGACAGGGGAACTCAGAGATGGAAAGCTATAAATTTTGGACAGGCAAAGGGGAAGGGTAACTGGATTAGCGTAGATCTTGAGACTCACGAAAAGATAATAAGGGAAAATGGCATGCCTCATGCCACTGTGATTGGCCATCAAGATTGACCACTCTTTGCTTGCCATAACTATGCATCATAAACCCACCCAGGGGGTCAGTTCATTTTAGAGTGAAGAGAGACCATTTTACCAGTTGTGGGCCTTAACATGGGTCACCATAGATTCTTCCCGTGGTGCATCGGCTAATATCCTGTTCACCTAAGATCCCGCATTTTCCTTGCTCCCAAGCTCTGGGATCTTAGGTGGAGACTACTGTACAATAATTCACAATGCTAACTGTGCCCCCCCCCCCCTCCTTCTCGCCAACTCTCTCCTTCTCCCCCTCTCTCTGTCCCAGATTTATGTCTAAAAACCAGTGACACGGTCTTTGTCTGGCTGTCTCCTAGATTATTTGTGTATTTTAGAAAAAAAAATTCTCCTTTTTTCCCCTTTCCCCCCCCCCCCCCCCCCCGCCAACCTTCACACACACTCAAACTTTTTTTGTCATATTATACATGTATATTTCAGTGCAACAAATCTCCCCCCTTCCCCCACTCTTCCCCTCACAGGTGAGTCTAAGCACTGATGATTCAGTCTTTGTCATATTATATTCTGTATTTTAACACAATAAATCTCCTCCCCCCCCCCCCCCCCCCACCTCTGTCTCTGACAGGTGAGTCTAGGCACCAGTGACACAGTGTTTGTCTGGCTGTCTCATCCCACACCAGGCCTGGAGGGACACGTCTTTCTCAACCCGATAGACAAACAGGATTACATGTCTTTGACCTGGTCAGTTTGTTGTTCTTGTGGCTGCTGCTGCTGCTGCTATTGCAATATATGTAAATTTTATCGAATTTATTTTTGTTTTTTGGCACTACATCTTTTATGTCCATTTAAAAACGTATTTCTGTGTGTATTTTATGGAAAAACATTGATTAAACGTACAAAAACTGTAAATTTTCAGTTTTCAAGGACTCTCACTCTCAAGCTATGGAAGTTACCGAACATTGACAGCCATTTTCTGAACCCGGTGACCCCCACCCCCTTCATTCACTAATATCTTAACTTCTATTCAAGATAAATATTTTCATTCAAAGCAAGGCAAATGAACAGGCTTTAAGATGATACCAATAACTCTATGTGCCCCAAAATTGACGAGTGCCTGATTCCACCGCGTTGTGAGACATATGCCTCTAGCCTGGTCAGTTCATCATGTCTGCCACACACCTATACTGCTGTTGTTGTTGTCATTGTAGTTATTGTTGTTGCTGTTGTTGTTGTTGTTATTGTTGCAATATATATATATATGACTATCCTGTCAGTTCATCACGTCTGCCACACCTTTGCTGCTGCTGCTATTGTTGTTGTTGCTGTTGTTGTTGTTATTGTGGGTGGTTGGCAGGTGCTCTGGTGTGGTTTGCTTTTTCTTTCCCATCAAATATCTATCGTCCTTATCTCCCCTCCTTCTTTTTTTAAGTTTGTTACTCTCTTGTAACACCTCTAATCTTCTGGCGCTCATATGACCTAATGCAGTTGCGAGCCCCGTAAAACCTCTACTAAAACAAACTGTTATTGTATTTTTGAAAATGAGTATTATAAATTGTAATGCTTTATACTATACCTCCACTGACACATTTTAGATGATTCAGGAGGCGGGCTACTTTGACCCTAGCCTACACACACACACACGCACACACAAAAGCATATATACACACACACGCATAAATACGCACACACACACACATATGTTCACGCACGTATGCGCGCACACGCGCACACACACACGCACCCACACACACATCTTCTCCAAATAAAATAAGTGGCGCTTAGGAAATGGTGTTCTGACAGTGACCTTGTGTTCTTTTCTTTGTTTGCATCAGTTTCAAGAACGGATCTTTGACACGAGAAAGGATCCGGGATGAGAAGGCTGGGGGGTCATGGGACACCTTCAGTGAAATGCTGAGGAAGACGCCATCTGGTAACCATGGCAACATTGGTCAGTCACAACTGCTGCTTTTGTTTTATTTTAACAGAAAGGGAATATGCGTGCGTGCGTATGTGCATGGGTGCGTGCATGCGTGTGTGTCATTTTGGGACTATTATAGGAAATATCTATTCTTGTAAAATATCAAGCAGTTGGGTTCTTACTCTTCTCATGCAAAAGATGTCAGTTTGATTCCTGCAAAGGGAAGTGGTTCAATGAGTATCTCGGTCTTTCTGCTGGGACGTTGTATCCATCTCAATCGGTGAGGCCCTGACAGCCACAGGTGTATATTCTAATTTGTGTAGCAAAACATTTTCCAAATTTGAAAAAAAAAAAAAAAAAAAATTGTTTGTTTTGGTAGGTCTTTTAGTTTTACAGAGCTCGCAACTGAGTGCACGTGACACTTTAAACATTTTTAGTTCAGGGGGAATTAATTTTGAATTTTGCGTGAGTGGTGGCCGAAATCTATTCTTATCGATTTTGGACCACCAAGGGATCTTTAATGTGTGGAACTTGCTCACGGGACTTCCAAGATTTTTCGCCCTCATCGGAAAATGCTTGGGGTTAGATCTTACCTACCCTTAGATCAGGGTGTTGCTGAAAGACAGCAGTAAGAAGGAACCCAGGAGCAGCAGTAGAAAGGCTGCAGAAAAAGTCAGGAACCCAGAGGAGAAGTCAAAGAGGGGGGGCGCAGAAAGTGGAAACGAAAGCAGACAACAGAAGATGCTGGTTAGAGAGCAGGAAAGGAGGTGAAAGGAGAAAATGTTCCCGTTGCTGTCAGGTTTTGAGCCCGGGACCTATTGAATGAGAGGTGAACACCGGAACCTCTTGACTACCAGAGCCCCCAAAGAAAATTACAAATTTTACTAATATTCCAAAAAAGAAATATATACTTATCGATTTTTAAAATACGACAAATAATTTTTTAAAAAAGATATTGAAAAAGAAAATGATCGTTTTTGACAAATGGTGTTATTTAAGTTTAAGTTATTATGTGGGTATGCTTCTGTTTGCCCAAAAGCAAACACAAATTTCCGCCATGTTTTCTCAGGGATCTATTTCGACGTGACAGAGATCCAACCATTTGCCGAAGGTTGTTTTCGATTTGACGACAAAGGGAACAAGGTGAGAGTGATACCCCATAATAAGTTAGATACACACGGATAATCTAGCACAACAATGGTACAGAGAAATCAGCGACCGACCATGTTGGATGTTTATGGCTCTATGGAATCATAACTTTAATTGCTCTTCCTGAAGAGTGCTAAATTAATGAATTCAAACAAAGAGACATAACTACGACAATTAGCGAGAGTGAACCAAAGACAGTTATTGTAACAGATATTACAGAGATATATTACAGTGAGAGGTGTATGCATTAAATTCAGTTGAATACAGTCGAAATTGTCAAAGACGGCCACCCATTGTCAGGAGAAAAGTGGCCATTTTAGGCAGGTAGACGTCTTACGCAGTGTGATTTTGATGTATAAAAATATGCAAGGGAGAAGAGGTGGGGCCGTTTGTTTAGGCGATTGCCTTATACAGTTGGCCGGTAGAGCAGGTTTGACTGTGGGTTTTTTTAGATCCCGTCTTCATGTTTTTGGGTGACATGTTAATGAGCCTTATTTATATCAGATGTACATTGACTTAACTTGATGGTTTGATTCTTGGAGATGTTATGGGTCAGAGGTTAAGAGTTAGGGGTTGGGGCTGGGGTTTGGAGATTAGGGTCAGGGGGGTAGGGGTCAATGTTAGAGGTTGGGGGGTAATGGTTAGAATTTGGGATAGGAGGGCTGGGGTAAGGGTTTGAGGTTTTTTTTTGTTGTTGTTGTTGTTTAGGGCTTGGGTTAGGGTTAGTGTTAGGGTCAGGGGGGTAGGTTTATGGGTAAGGTTATGGTTTGAGTTACGCTCGAGGTTAGGGGTGGGTGTTTTGGGTTAGGGTTAGGGTTAAGGGTTAGAGGTTTGGGATAGAGGTTAAGATTATGGGGTTAGGGTTAGTATGTTGGGGCCTTGGGTTAAGGGGGGGGGGGGGAGGGGGGGCTACACCTGCCTGAAGGCTATCTCGCTTATTACTGGACAGAATTTTACCACATTTCACACACATAACAAGCATAGTAAGGAGTCATAAAATCCGCAATCACATTTGCGAAAAAAGTTTTGTTTCCATGGATACAGCGGCCATATTGGATTTTGTTGACATGTCTTACGTAATGAATGCCGCGCTTATCGCTCATGGAAATTGATCGTTTTTTTGCATGCATGTTAACAAACATTAGCTAGATAAAAAATTTGTGTGTTGTTTTTTTCCTAAACGAATTAGAAAATTTGTAATGAATTTTTTCCTGAGGTAGCATTCAAGTTTGCAAAAAATCCGTGAAGATCCACACTCCAGACACCACCACCAAAAATCTATTTCATATATCAAAAATTCAACAGACACATTTTTTGTATTACTATTACATCTTCTCTTCATTCTGTGAAAATTTCATGAAGATTGAATGAAAAATGGTGGAGTTATTCAAAAAAGTATAGAGAAAAGTCGCGTTTTGAGAAAACGGCCGATAAAGAAGAATAAAATATTGACTTTATGAGGAAATGGCGGTGACAAACATGCCCGGTTTGGGAGAAAATTAGTTTTTTGGAGGGTTCTTATGCGGTGAAATAGTTGTAGGAGAGGCTGAGGAAGCTAAAAATGCCTACAACTCAAATTCCATAGTTTTGAGCCGAATCTTGACTTAGGGGGTGTAGCCCCCCCCCCCCCCCCCCTTAAAGGGATAGGTTTAGGGATAGGATCATTAGGTTTAGGGTTAGGGGTGTTGGATGCGGCTGGAGTTAGAGGTTAGAGTTTAAGGTTAAGGTTTTCAGAATATTGGTCTCTTTGATCCAGTGAAAAGAGGAGAAACTTAAACCAATCAAAAACTGTAGTTGTGCACTTGCAAGATTTTCCTGAAACTATATTTTCTCATTCACTCCTCTCCCCCCCCCC